CCATAACTGACCCTATCCCCCATATAAGGTCCCCTTCAGAAAATTACTTAAACGCTCGTAACTGTCCAAAAGAAGCATCTATAGCGATGAAATTCGACATAAATATATTTTCTAGGAACCTAAATCGCTTTGTAAAATTTTATAAGGATCGGTTCATAATTGACCCTACCCCCCATATAAGATCTCCCTCAGAAAATGACTTTAACGCTCATAACTGTCTAAGAGAAGCATCTATAGCGATGAAAATCGACATGAACCTATTTTATAGAAACCTAAATAGCTTTGTAAAATTTTACGAAGATCGGTCCATAATTCACCCTATCCCCCATATAAGGTCCCCTTCAGAAAATTACTTTAACGCTCATAACTGTCCAAAAAAAGCTTCTATAGCGATGAAATTCAACATGAACATATTTTATAGGAACCTAAATCGCTTTGTAAAATTTTATAAGGATCGGTTCATAATTGGCCTTATCCCCATATAAGGTCCCCTTCAGAAAATGACTTTAACGCTCATAAGCATCTATAGCGATGAAAGTCGTCATGAACCTATTTTATAGAAACCTAAATAGGTTCGTAAAATTTTACGAAGATTGGTCCATAATTGACCCTACCCCCCATATAAGATCCCCTGCGGAAAATGACTTTAAAGCTCATAACAGCCTTAAAGAAGCATCCATAGCGATGAAAGTTGACATGAACATATTTTATAGGAACCTTAATATCATTGTAAAATTTTATAAGGATCGGTTCATAATTGACCCTACCCCCCCTACAAGGTCCCCTTCACAAATGGCTTTAAGGCTCATTACTAGCCTAAACTAAAATCGTTCTAGAAAATTTGACGAGGATAGGTCCATAATTAAGATATCAGCAAAAGGACATTACTAATCTTTGTTTATAAACAAACACATGCAATTTTTACAAATTGTCGTTCGAGTACTTTTTTGGATATTTTTGTACTCTACACCACTTTAGTGGGGAGGAAGCCTATTGAAAATGGTTAAAATCGGTCCATTATTTCTCCTAGCCCCCATACAAAAGAACACCCCGAAAAGGACCTTTGAGCTCATAATTATGTTAAATATACCTGTATCTCGATAAAAAGCACACAAATAATTTTTATATAAGCCTTATGACGTTGCCAAATTTCATAAAGATCGGTCCTCATTTGACCCTAGCTCCCATACAAAGTCTCCTTCAGAAGATGACTTGAATGTTCAAAAGTCACGTATAAACACTAATATCGCTATGAAATTCAGCACAAATAAATATTATAAAAATGTCTTCACAATATTTTATCGGGATCGGTCCATATTTGCCCCTAGCCGCCATATAAAGCCTGTTTCAGAAAATTTGTTTTTCGTCCATAAATTGATTAAAATAAGATAATATTGAAAATAAATGCTTTATTACGAAAAATAAATACATGACAGGGCAATTTTCATACAGAATATTTTTTATTTCCCCTAGATCTGCTTTTGAATTTGATTGATTGCAACTCATTTTTAATTTCATTAATTTTAATTGCAATTAATTTTTCTAATTGGAAATCAATTGCAATTAATTTTAATTAGAAGCGAATTGCAATTCATTTTTACCAAATTCATTTGAATTGATTCAAATATCATTCTACCTTTTTTGTGAAAGAAAAAAAATTGAAATTTAGCCAATTCGCAACGAATTAAAATCAAAAATTAATGAGACCAATTCGACAAAAACAAGATCTGCAAAACAAAAATCACTCTACTTAATTTCATGTGAATCGATCCAAAGTTGACCCGAGTTTCCCCATAAAAAGTCCCTTTCTGAAATCACTTTAACGCTAATAACTAAATAATAGCTTAAATAACTCATATAAAGACGAAATAACGACATAAAAACGACTGATAGCAACCAAAATCTATATACTAAGTTTTATTGGGGTCGGTCTATAATTGACCTATCCCCCACATAAAGCCCCCTTCAGAAATGACTTTAACTCTTAATTAGACTAGAAATACCCGTATAGTTATAAAATTCGACAAACACTAGGATCCAACATCTCTCTACTAAATTTTAGGGGGTCGGTCCATAATGAAATGATGGAAAATTGTCTAGGTAGGTAGATAGGTAGGTTGATAGGAGGATGTATACTACATCAAATCCGAAGAAATACACCTAGGCTGCTATCGGGCCTGTTGTGCGCTCCTTATCATGAAAAAAGGGAACCGAATGAATTATTTTTCAGTGTTCATAAACTCAGTTTCCTGAACGTAATTCCTAAGAATCTCCCAATTGGTGTTAGTCAGGAATGTTATTTCCCGAATAACATCACTTCCAAGACACTTGGATCTAACTTCGACGAATGCCTGGCAGTGGCAAAGAAAGTGCTCCAGAGTTTTACTGTCCTCTCCACATGCTCTACATTCATCTGAATCCGCACTTCCAATTTTGCATAGATGTGCTCGCAATCCTGTCCACTCAGAATACGTACCATTATACTAACTTCAGACCTGCTCATTTTGAGGAGATAGGATCTTCGTGGTTCTACCCACTGTTTCATTATTCCAAGAACCCTTATGGGATTCTCACCCATATTAGATTTAGTTCTATCGCCTAATATCGCCCTAACTGCCTTCTGGCTATCGGTAAATATATTAAGCGCTTTAGGCGCCTTATTTATTCTAATCCTATTTACGCATTCCGTTATTGCTCGTACTTCTGCCTGGAAGCTTGTGTGATGATTTGGTAAACGGTGGTATATTTCTGTTTCTGGGTCTTCAATATAGAACCCCAGCCCCACTTTGTCCCCCAATTTAGAGCCATCCGTGTAACAACGGATTCCTACTGGTATTTGCTCTAATGTTTCGCTTGACCAAGACATTCTATCTTAGATCAGCGTTTCAAAGTTTCTGACATATTCTGTGTCTGGTATATGATCAGGCACGACCGATGATTGTGTATAACCTTCTAATGTGTCCAGTATACATTGATGACGTGTCCTATAACCGATTTTGGCCAGTTCGCCTAAAGTAAAGAGCCGTTCGCCTGTAAGCGCCGCCTCATATCTTAAATATGTTTCAATGGGTGGAATATCTAGCAACGTTTCCAGAGCCTTGGTTGAAGTAGTACACATGGCACCACTTATACCCAAGCAGCATGTACGCTGAACTCCCTGTAGTAGTTTGGTATTGCACTTGTCGAAAGCAGTCCACAAGATTATTGAAGCTTAAGCTAGAATTGGTCTAATTAAACTTTTATAAAGCCAATTTGTCATAGTAGGACTAAGACCCCATTTCATGCCTATAGTTCTCCTACATATCGCCCAGCACCGATGTGCCTTGTTGACCCTATCCTCTATGTGGTGTCTCCATTTTAATTTCAGGTCGAGGATTACACCTAAGTTCTTAACTTTGTCTGTCACTGGTATCTTCTTGCCCAGGAAGCAAGGTTCAGTATACGTAGAAATTTTTGTCTTTCTTGTGAAAAGACAGATTTCCGTTTTTGCCGGGTTGACATTGAGGCCTCTCGGTTGAGCCCATCTCAAGGCCGTATTCAGAGCCTCCTGAGCTCTTCTACACAAGTAATTTGGATCCTTTCCCTTTAAAAGTATTACGACATCGTCTGCATAGCAGACAGGTCTAAGTCCTTTCTCGGTTAGGGTCCTTAGGAGGCTATTAATCGTGGTAACCCAGAGTAAAGGTGACAAAATGCCACCCTGTGGTATACCGCGAAATACCTTTTTCCTGATAGTCATATCGTACATCTCGCAGCTTATCCATCTGTTCCTTAGCATGTGGTTGATCCAGTTACGTTGCACCCGGTCAACATAAAACTGGTCTAGGGATTGGATAAGAGTATCAGAGTGCACGTTATTGAAGGCGCCTTCGATGTCAATGCATACCGCCAGTGTATAGGGTTTGCTATCAAAGGATGCAGCTATGTAGTGGACAACTTCGTTTAAAGCGGTTTCCACCGATCGTCCCTTTACATAAGCATGCTGCTTAAATTTTAGGTCTTTGTCGGGTATGCTGCTTTTAACCATACTATCGACTATCCGTTCCAAGGTTTTAAGTAGGAAGGACGTAAGACTTATCGGTCGATAAGACATAGGTGTCGAATAGCTAGGTTTCCCTGGTTTATGTATAAATATTACCCTTGCCATTTAATGGGGGTATACGTGAATTTCAAGCATGTAGTAAATATCTGAGACAGATGTACGAAAACCAGTCCCGCCTCCATCCGTAAGAGTGCCGGGAAAATGCCATCCGGCCCTGCAGCTTTTTAGGGAGCGAAGCACTTGATTGCCCCTTTAACCATATCAGATGTAATTACAATTTCCGTGTTAGCCTCCCCTTCCTCCAATATCGGTTCATCTATGTTATTCGATATATCGGGTGGGAAATGAGTGTCCATTAGGAGTTTCATTGTCTCCTCCATATCCTCCAGCCTCCTGCCCTCCTTTCCGGTTGGACATGAGTTTTGGATAGAAATTTCTTTATCTTCGATACGTCATTTACGCTGTCTACCTGATCACAGAAAGTTTCCAGGAGTCTCGTTTGTCTAAGATTTGGATTAAATGCTGCTAAAATTATTCGACGACGGTCATAAAGTGTTCAAAAGTGTTATTTTATTTAAAATTATTTTTTGTTGGTAATAAAATGATTTCTTTAAATATTGCGTGTTATTAATTGGGATAATATAATGGTAATTTAAAAACCAAATTACGGTTAAATTAGAACTATATTATGAACATCTTATAGTAAATTTGTTAAAAAAAAGTTTCATCATATATATTTTATAAATTCATCTAAAAGCGATTTTAAATAAACCAACCGTTTCGAAATAAGCGACTTATTTCTAAAAAATAATCAGTTTTACTTTTTATTGCGTTTTAAAAATAAAGAATAATTTAATTAAATTTTACCAAAATTTAAAAACTTAAATGTTGTTTTCGTAAAGCCAATCGGTGTAAATATTTTAAATTAAATTAAGTTTGAATAAAAATCATATTTTACCTGTGTAATTGACACATTCGTTATAATAGACGAAGGGACTTGTACTTTATAAAAACGTTGATCAAATTGTGGGACATTATCATTGATATCGTCAACTAATACGACAACTCTAGTTGTAGAATATAAGGCCGGTTGGCCGTTGTCCGAAATGTAAATCTGCAAATAAGAAACGTACATACATGATCGATTATTATTCGGATTATAATCAAATTTTGAAGACAATTTAAAACTATTGTAATTGAAGTTCTAACAATTACAATTACTTGTAATGGTAATTGATGTTTTGCCAATTACAATTACTTGTAATTGTAAATTTTGTTCTTTATAATTACATTTAATTTGTAAATAGCAATACCTTAATTACAATTACAAGTAATTGTAATTGGTTATTGCTCAATTACACATTAAAAGTAATTGTAATTGCCCATGTAATGAATTACTTTGTGTAATCATTACCACCCATGCCTGTCTGTCAGACATGCTTTCGACAAGCTTCCTATTGAAAATGAGCAAAATTGGTACATAAATAACTGAGATAGGAGCAAGAATCTGAGAGTACCTCTTAAAATTACTCCAACAAATTATAAAAACAACAACAACGTGATAAAGCAGTTAAATTTAGGTAATACAGCTTATATTTGTTTGAGGGTGGTAATACAGTTATACAACAAACTGTTAAACAAACATTAGCTGTATTACTAATACAGCTAATGTTTGTGTAAATGTTATGTGTGCAGAGATACAAGAAATTATGTATTTATTTCTTATTGTTGCTTTTTTCTTTGATATAGGTATAAAATGTAAAATTATATGAACTATACCAAAAAAAATCTTAAAAAATTAAAAAAAAAAAAACATACTTGGTGAAGGGTGTGTATATAAGACTCGGCACAGTCGAATAGAGAACTCTGATTTCTTTTAATTCAAATTAAAAATGAAACAAAATCAAATTTCGAAAAAATAGAAAATCAACTTTCAAGAAATTTAAAAATCTACTTTCTTTCACAGTATGCACAACATGTTGTCATTAATTTCACTGTTTCAAATACTAAAAGAAAAAATTAATTCTGAAAATTTAGTCGAATTATATTATATTATATTTAGTTTAATTAATTACAAGGTTAACATGAACAGACACTCGTTAAAATAAAATATAATTTCACTTTTAGAAGTTGATCTGAGCGAAAAAGCAATTTTCGACCCAACCTAATACACATATTATGTCAAATATAACATTTCAGTATGTTGTGTACTACTCGCTTTCCGGATGCCATTATTAGTCAATTGTTGGAATCAAATAAAATATAAATAAATACAACAAAAATTTCATAGCATACTTAATGCATTATTTAAATGTATTGAATATAAAGGAAATGTAAAATTTTAATTAATCTACAATTTTTAATTTGATAATAATAATTAAGGTTAATATTCGGCAACTCTGATGAAGAGTGTATAAGATTCAGCACTGTTTAAGCACTAATATTCCAATAACAAATACTTTAAAGTTTAATATTTAAAGTTTAAAATAACTTACCTCCAATATATGTTCTGCTTGATTTTCTCTGTCCAATTTCCTCTCTGTTGTTAAAAGTTCACCTAAAAAAATAAATTTAATTACATTATGTTGGTTTTTACTTGTACTTTTTTCAATGTAAATTCTCTACCGAATAAGTTATTAATAAATTTTAAAATATTATTTAAAAATATTTTTCAGTTTATCCATAATTTTCAACTAACAAATATTTTTTTAAAATTAATATTACTATAAAATTACACTAGACAACACCTTTTAAATAATTCCTAATGATGATTCCTATGTATTGTTTTATCCTTATAACTATAATTTAAAGTAAACAAGTTTGATTTCTTTTTACAATATGGTACCAACACATAACAATAACAAAATTTTTATATAACAATTGGAAATTCGTTAAAAATTTAGTGAAATTTTTTTAAATAAATTCGTGAATTTTGGTTAATATATATATACAAATATGAAACTTTGGAAGCAATATGATCCTCACAAACATCATGACAAGCACTTACAAAGATCAACAACGACATTTTTTAAAAGAAAGGACATCGCATTTATCCATTTCACTATCGGTATCGAATTGTTGTATCATCATATGTCAAGGATTTTCATGCACTAAAAAAATTAAAAATATGCGCTTATAATATGCAATATAAAATGGGAAAACATGTACTAAAAATGTGAAAACTATGCACCAAAAAATATTTCCTTGTGAAGGTATATATTAATAGATATTCAGATCTTAAGTTTTTGACAACTACTGCTTTATGTACTATAATATCATTTTAATGGATTCACGATCTCGAGAATGACAAATATAAAGACTAACAAACAACTTTAAATAGTATCCCCCTTATTCACAAACAACATTTTTATTTTATAAAAGGTTTATAAAACAAAATTTCCATACAAAGTCTAATTTATAAACTGTTTATAAAATAAAAATTTTGTTTGTGAATAAGGGGGTATACATTAAATTTCTGAAAGTGGAAAGCTTGATAACAATTCTAATAAAATTTGGTGAATGAATATATTTTTGTATTAATTATATTTCTTCCGAATTTTATCGTTTGGTAATGTTTTTAAGTGAATTATGGACGTTAAGCCATTTTCTGAAAGATATTTTGAATGGGGGCTAGGGTGAGAGAGATGTAAAAACAAAATTTCATCAAGTTATCTTTTTATATGGACACACAGATAGACCAATATTTTTGGACGTTACAATTAGCAGCACAAACTCAAAATACCTCCCGCACTATTGTGGTTTTAAAAATTATATAAAACTATGTAAAATTGTATTTCATGGAACCTAGTATTTTGTTGTTAAATCGATTTGTTGATATTTATTAAAAAAAATTCTAAATATGTAAATACCAAGTTTGTTGTAAAAACATAAAATACAGAGAAAACAAAACAATTTGTTTTAGAAAATTTAAAAAATATGCTATAAAAATGTTGGAAATATGCAAAATATATGCAATTTAAAGCAAAATATGCAATTTATGCATTTATAACAAAATATGCAACAACAAATCGATGCCATTTTGTAGCAAATTCATTGATTCGAAAAGAAGACTAGTTAAAAGTTATTTGGGTCACTGACTACAAACATGCATTTGCATCCTTGTCCTGATCTTTAATATTTCGCAGACAACATTCTTTGGCACAAAAAGAAAAGCGAAAACTTACGACATACAACATTACGGCACCAATTGTGAATTCTGTAATATTTTGAATTCATAAGTATGTAAAAATAACAAACAAAAGTTGAATTCAATCCGAAATATTTCACTGCGTTTTTAACGAATTTCCAATTTTAACCCAAAAATGGTATTATTGGTTTGTGTTGGTAGTACATTATGGAAAAACTCAAATCAATTTAGCCCAAATTATTGTTATAAGGATAAAACAAAAAAAGGTTCAATTTTCAACTTCCTTGCAAGGCAATCTAATAATACTCTTTAGAAAGATAATTTTGTGTAGATTTCCATGTTGTTAAAAAAACTTTAGAATTTTGTTCCAGTTCTGCAAAATTATGTAAAAACTTCCAAAAAGTGGCGTAAATAATGTCCGTACAAAAATCGCAATATCTCAAAAACTGGAGCTAACCGAAAATTTCAGCGGGTGGAAATAGGAATTAGCTATTTTGATTTAAAAGGCACGCAAAAAGTTCGATTTTGTTGACTTGTGTTATTTGTGGGAAAAACCCAAATTTAGCGGAATCTAATTCATATCTTCTTTATTTGTGATTTGATCCATTAGAGATGTATAGTGATATTTTAGACAAAGATGTGGTCTATCGAATAAGTGTACTTTAGGATATCCTGTTCTAATACAGGGTGTGCTATATATATAAAAATTAATGTGTGTTTAGTTGTGGGTTTGTTTGTTTGTTTATTTGTTTGAAGTCTGTAGACTGCTAAACTGCTGGACCGATTTTCTTGAAATTTTCAAAGTATCTTTGTGTATTCCTGGAAGGAACTATAGGCTACTTTTAATTTTGATATTTCTAGTAAAAATGGTATATCTGGGAATATATAACAACTAGAAAAAATTGAACATTGGAATATGGTTTTTAGTGTAGCAAAGCACACTGGGTAAGCAAATATAATATAATTAGTGGTAATATGTTTATAATTGTGTATTATTTTCGTATTGATAACTTTTTTGAAAACTACAGTATATTTCGAACCATGTGAGGTATATTTATGTCATTTTGGACATACACCCTACAGTCAGCATAGACCGACTTTTTTTTAAATATTTATATATATTTGTCTGTAATGAGAAGTAAAATAAGATTAAAATAAATACTATAATCATCATAAAATGGTTAATATTTAATCAGTAGAATAAATATTTTTCATTCAATAATTTGTGGTTATAATTTAGTAATATTAATAATTGCTGGAGTATCTATTATTGAAAAACTACATAAATATTACATATAAAACTAATAATTCTTTTCGTTACCCTTTTAATTAATACATATTTTGTTTACATTTTCTTTACAAAAATATTTCTTTGTTAGAATACAAATAGGAACTTTTATATGACATAAAAGTCCAAAAGTTGTTATAATCCTAGGTATAATATTAAATATATCGAGGGACTGTATTCAATAGTCTTTATCTAAAATAACACAAGTTTTGAGGAGAGCAAAAAAACTGTTTTTTTTTTGCAACATCATATTATGACCCAATAAGATCATAACATTATCATTATATTGTTTAAAATAATATGGTTTCAAGTAATCATTTTAAACAAACACAAAACTTCCAAGCACTGGTATTCCCATAAATAAAAACTAATATGTATATCAAAACTTTCATGTCAATATAAAGATAATTTATAATTTTTTTAATTATTAATTTTTTATGTACAATATTTTATGTATTTTATATTTCTTTTTCTTGTTTTTTTTTCTGCGTGTATACAACTGAACACTAGGAATAGAACTTTTGTTAAATATATCTTTTTTAAAAGCACTGATGACAATCGTCGGACCTCACTTGACTCTAGCACTTATACAAATCTCCTTCCCAAAATTACTCCAATATCCACTTACTAGTAAACACAAATATCGCGATGAAATTCAGCATAAATAAATTTAATGTACACTATGTCACTAAAGTCTACAAACGATTTTAATTTTAGATATTTTTCTGTGTATTAAAGGACAATTAAAAAATCTTCTACATTATTGTAAATGGAAAAATTTACATTGAAAAGTAAAGAGTTAAAAAGCTAATAAAACCTATTTTCACTACTTCTTCATTAGCATTTTAAGTCATTATTTTAACACGGTGATGTCATTGGAGGTACTTGGAAGTACTTCTACGCTCGCTTACAAATAGGAAGTTAAAGAATACTTGCAATTTCTCTTACAAAGAAAATGTTTAGTAAGTTGTTTTATTTTTTAATAATATAAAGAGCCAGCAAGAATACGAACCAGGGACTTCGGTTTGTTAGTCAAATGTTCTACTCACTGCACCACTGCTTAGCTACTTTATTGGTTTGTATAATGGTTTTCACATACAAATCTAATTTTGTTTTATTTTTTGTAAAACACAATTCTTAACACGCAATTAAACAAAATGTGCAAACAAAATGACAAAGCCGAAAAGTACTTCTACATATATCAGATTATAAGAAAGTCATAACTACAGTACTTCTATGTAATGCAGACGGTAAGTAGTAGTCAATGAAAAGTAAGTGGTTATGGAAGTATAAATCATTACCGAGTTTTTGCTGGGTATATCTTAAGAAATCATTTTTCAATTCCAACAAATAAAATATTTTTAAAAGAAAAATCAAATTTTTTCATGTTTTGAATTTCACAAAAGTTTACAAACGATGGATTTAATTCAGAGTATGAAAACAAACGAAACATTTCGCAAACGTTTCCATAATGTACTAAACTTTTCAAAATTTTTAAATCGTTCTTTACATGAGCAAAACTAAAACAAATACTTTTTAAGTGAGAAAGAGCGAAAACAAAACAATTGACTTTTCGCTCATCAACTTGCTTTTTTTGCCTTTACCATCTTACATCATTCTTCATTCTTCTCTCTCGCCTTACGGAGTTTCTCGTACTCGCAAACTTGTTTTGTTTTGTTATTCTTCTCATTCGTACAACAATAAATCAATGCAATTAATACGTAGTTTCTGAAACAAAAGTTTCTATGTGTGGACATTAAGGAAACTTCAAAAGAGAATTAAGAAAAAGTTTCTCAACAAAAGTTTCCTAGTGTGGACCAAGTCTAATGAGCAAAACAATCAGGAAAAGCGAAAATATTTTGCTCGAAACTTTTCAGTTTTGCTCCCACTGTTTTCTTTTCTAGCTGCGTACATTTGAGTTAATGTACACGATGTGCTCAAAAGCAAAAACAATACAAAACCAAATGAGAAAATCGTTTTTGTTGTTTATACCCTACACCACTTCAGTGGGGAGGGTATATTGTCCCAGGGACGAAGCCTATTGAAAATGGTTAAGATCGTTCTATTATTTCACCTAGCCCCCATACAACTGAACCCCCCAAGAGGGCTTGTACACCTTGTA